CTTCATCAATTGTGGGAAGTCGTAAAATGCTCCCCGGATTTAGATGAGGAGGGTGGTGTTTGTCTTCATTAGGTTCTGCCCTGTCACTGTGGCTGCAGAGAATCTTTTGCTACGGCCCCAACAGCTTTGTTCTATCGAGATCTTAAATTGAACCTGAAGTCAGAGCAATCCAGCACCCAGCTTAAACAGTCCCATGAAGCTGGAGTTTGCTAATTTTTGATTAACAAGGATATCAACATGACTTCCTTCAGATGGCAAGTAAAATTTGACTGTCTCTGAAATAAGTTATGTGTGGTATAAAGACAGCGGGTCCCGTACTGACAAATTGGTGGGTTTAGATTCAAAGCAAATCCATGAGTATAACTCTTCAAAGGATGGAATTAAATAAGTTCTTCCAACTACTTAACACTATCTCAGTTTTCCACAGAACACCACATTCTCTGTGAATGTCAGGTACATGGAGCATATGTATATCTCACTAGAGCCGGAAGAGCCTATGCAAAAGTGAGCACAGCTATTTGTTTATCCGGGAATTCTAAAACCAGGGGCTGACCTGTGTCAGGAAACAGGCTGAGCCAGAAGTCACAGTAAAGATGAGGGCCTCGGGAGGCAGATTGGAATTCGGGGAAGCAAGTGCCATCTTGTAAATAAAGAATATGATCACATGTCATGAGGACAGAGCCCTGTGTTCTGCCAAGAGAAGGAAGTGAGTTCCTCAAGGGAGGCAGTGAGGCTTGCCTTTTAGTAACAGATGTGTTAGGTAATGGTTGAGGTACATTTTTATACAGAGAAATGACATAAAGTCCTGTGACGCCCAGCATGGTCCAGGATGTGGGTGACCCTGATCCTGACTTTTAGCCAAGTCAGGTGCCAACAAGGCTGGGAGGGTTCACCCTCACTCAGTGATGTCACAATCAAATCCTGGTGACAACAGAGGAAGTGGAAATCAGGAAAATAGAACCACTGAACAATCTGTACTTTCCGTTAGGAGAAGATGGGTCAGATGGTGAGGTGTGGAGAAAGGGCTGAACATGTCTAAGAAATGCCATGTAAGCCTTCCAGAGCACAGTGACAGTCTGAAGTACTTGCAAGCAAGACCAGTTGGGGAGCAGAGCTAGAAGAACCAAAGAGCCAGGCGAAGCATTCTCACCTAAGGGCAACTGTGAGACCCTAGAAGGAGTCACTGATACCATCCGCTGACGAAGACTGGGCGGGGGCAGGAGGGACTCTCTTTACTCCACATAGGATTCCATAAGAACCCTAGTTAGAGAAGCCCACTTTTGAAAATACGAAGTCTGATTTTCCTTGAAGCATGCCAGATAAAATAAAATACGTACCCAAAGTCATAAGTTGATTACTTTGTCTTCATCCTTCTGGTTCACATTCGTCCCGTGCTGACTCAGCATGGAACGGGAAGTGAAGAAATGGAAGGGAAAAGAAATACATATCTCAGCAGATTAGAGTCAAGGGCAGATGATGACAACTGCTAAGCCCTGAAAACACATTCTACTTGTTCCAATTTACCACAAAGATTTCTTTTTTTTTTCTTGTTTGTTTGCTTGTTCTAGACACTTTCTATTATGTTTTTTATTATTTTTATTGAATTATATCTTTTCTCTGCTTCCCTCCCTTCTTCCCCCACCCCTTCTACCCTTTCTTCTGGTCCATACATTCCCAATTTACTCAGGAGATCTTGTCTTTTTCTATTTCCCATGTAGATTTGCATAGACATAAGCACATGCAGAATGAGAAGAACAGTTGATCCTTCAAAGTCAAAGCTCAATTCATGTGGCATTTTATGGCTTCCCAGAGGTTCATTCCGAATGGTCGTCCACTTTCAGAACAACATTGAAATCACTAAGAACCTACTTGAACACCTATTCATAAAAGATCACTGAGACTGAATAAGCATGGGATGAAACCGGACTCTCTGAACATGGCGGACAAGGAAGGCTGATGAGAAGCCAAGGACAATAGCACTAGGTTTCGATCCTACTGCATGAACTGGCTTTGTGGGAGCCTAGCCTGTTCGGATGTTCACCTTCCTGGACCTAGATAGAAGTGGGAGGACCTTGAACTTCCCGCAGGCAGGGCAGGGAATCTGGACTGCTCTTCAGTCTCGAGAGGGAGGGGGAATGGAGTGGGGGAGGGGGAAAGGAGTGGGGAGAGGGGGAGAGAAGTGGGGGGAGGGGAGAGGAGTGGGAGGAAGGGGAAGGAAATGGGAAATGGGGAGGAGGCAGAAATTTTTTTCAACACCAAAAAATAAATAATGAATTAATTTAAAAAAACGATCACTGAGATATGTTACAGTATTACTACTTACCAAAATAAAAATATCCACAGATTTTAGTACATGTTTGTATACTGAGAAGAACAAATACAGGGGAGAAAGGTGGAAATAAAGAGTGGAAATCTGGGAGTAGCACTCTCCTTTTCCACAGAATGGTGGAATATCTGGATGCTGGCTTAGTCAGGACAAGTTTTACCACCACAAGATCTGACAGAAATCTAACAAAGTGCTTCAGGCCGTATGCCACATTCTCAGTCACAGAAGCGGTAGAGGTATGCTTCCTGCAAGGGGTCTTCCATCTTCTTCAGAACTCCTGTGTTTCCTCAGATCTCCTCTGTTTCCTGCATCTCTGTATCTTATGAAGACACTGGCACTGGGTTTGTAAGCAGGCAGACCATAGATGGAAGGAGATAACTGGACCCCTCCCCTGGTTTCTGTCTTCACTTTGGAGGGCTAAGGAAACCAGTGGTTCTTCAGTCCAACACGATGGCAACCTCATCACAAGAGAAGCAACCATTTAGTCTGAGAGGGAAAAACTGGAGCTTGTCTGGAGAGAATTGCTGAGGATTCGTGTCGGAAGCTTCCTGAAGCTGGGATTGTCTGCCTGACGGCCTGACTGGAGGTCACGCAGGGAGAGGGAAGGCAGCTGTGCACATCTGGGATGGGCCTCCCCTCTTCAGTGGTTTTGAGGCGTGCCAATCAGCTCTGGAAGTGCTCTCCACAGTCATAGACATGTGCTTTACTAACTTCCTAAGTGTCTCAATCCACAATCGGGTTAACTTCATGGCCAACAATTACAGAGGTTTTTGTGAGGGTAACGTTGCTTGAATTTTTTTCAATATGGCTACTATTTGAAAAGCTCCTTTTCTTCCACAGGAAATGAATGTGTGCATTACTTGAATAGGAAAGAAAATGATTTTTTTTATTTTGGTTTTTCGAGACAGGGTTTCTCTGTGGCTTTGGAGCCTGTCCTGGAACTAGCTCTGTAGACCAGGTTGGTATCGAACTCGCAGAGATCCGCCTGCCTCTACCTCCCGAGTGCTGGGATTAAAGGCGTGCGCCACCATCACCCGGCTAAGAAAAGGATTTTATAGGTTCACTTATATTTTGAATTTGCTTATTTACCATGCCAGTATTCTATATTTTCCATTAAGTAAAACTTAATCTAAAACACAGAAGACTGAAAATTTATTTGAGTTGAAATTATGTCCTTAGATAGAATAACTTGAAGATTTGCTTTTGAAAACCATTGTGCGTACAAATCACTTGGAGTAGAGAAAGTGGCAGGGGCTTCAAAAAGGCTAGCCTCTCAGAGTAAGAATAAGCTAGGCCCCTTCAGCTTTATTCAATGGCTACATCTTTATTGCTGGAGAATACAAGAAAAATAATTTTAGATATTCACAATGCGCAAATCTTTCTCCATTTTAGAGCCTTGAATGTAGTGAGCTCCTGGGTGACCTATCAAAAGCATCAATACCCCATTACAAGGAAGCAGCAGCCCTCCCTCTCCAGCACATGATTCTGGTGATCCAGGTTCTGTCATCTGGGAGGTCTAAACAACTCCACAGGGACGTGGTGCTCACTGCAGAAAGCCGGGAAGTTCTGCTGACCTGCAGAAACCACTCTTAGTGTGGTCTCAAGTGACAGCAGCAACTTGCAGAATGGCTTTAATTTGTAGAAATGACTATCTCTTTAACTTGTGTGACATTCGGGAACTCCCAGGGATAATCTGTGGGATTTTGTCAAGAAAAAACTTTCCTATGATTAATGAAATAGCACGTTTCCACAACTACAACAATATATGGCTGCATTCTCAGAAAACAAGTTTTAAGGTATTTTTATTTGTTTGTTTATTGGTTTTTTTGACACAAGGTTTCTCCATGTAGCTTTGGACCCTGTCCTGGAACTTGCTCTATAGACCAGGCTAGCCTCGAACTCACAGAGATACAACTGCCTCTGCCTCCTGAGTGCTGGGATTAAAGGCATGCACCTCTTGGCTGCCTTAAAATAATGCATGTCTAACATATTCCTGTATGTACTCTCTCTGTTTATAGTTAGCCAAATGAATTTCTAACCTTAGTACTTAGAAGAGCGGTGGATTCTCCATAGTCCGCAGGTTCTTGCCATTGGATTAAGTAGTAACTAGCTTCCAGACTCTAGTCCTAGCTCATTTGCATCCATGGTGCTAATTGGCCAGGCCTGGGTATACCATTATTACTTGAGAACCAGGAAAGACAGCATCCTGGCCATCTCAAGTTCAGTAGACAGAAAATATTGTAGCCTCGGGGAAACTGGGGTGTAAGAAACAGCAAGCCCATGAGATACGGAAGACAAAAGTGTCTCAGCAGACTAAACTGGAAACTGATGTCACTGTGGTTGTACTAAATAAAGTCACCGAGGTTCCTTACCAAAGTCAGAATTAAACCATTCCTTTGCTGAAGAAGTTAAGAGCAATTTTCATTTGACAATAACAAATCTCCTAATGGAATAAATTGTGAAATATAAAAATAAGTTTAGAAACAAGAAATGCTGAGATACAGGAAGAATCTGGGTTATATTACACTCAGGGAACTTAAATTAGCAGCTTGGGGTTTCAGAGGTAACTGCTTCATTTTCCCCAGTCCTGAGGGCACGCAAGAATGGAGATGGAATATGGTTAATGTAAAATCAACTGAGCATGCGCCCATCCTGGAGCTCTTCCTGCAAGCGCTTTCCCCATGCACTCGCTGGCTTCGCTTAGCAGCCTGCCACCCTTCCTTCCGTGTTATCAGAGGAGCTGATGTCTTCATTGTGTCTGCGCCAGCTGCTCTTGCCTATGGAGGCTCTTCATTTCCTATCTTGGAGGTAAGACTTAATCATTCAGGCTCCAGAAGCACACATATCACTGCAAGTGGCTTTCCCCTTTCCAAGAGGCATCCCCTGGGGCAGTCTGGCTCCAGCCTCTAAGGGAGTGAGATCAGCTTTGTGTTTGTTGGTGCGGAGATCTCTCGGCAACAAAGAAAATTTTGGATCTGTTTTCCCCTTCCTGCCTCTCCTCTGCCCTTGATCCATCATCAATCTCCTTTCTTTCCGCTTTAGCTGAAGCCCACAGCAGTAACGCTTTGTGTGTGCCCCCAAACAGCTCGCAATGACGCCTATTTTTTTAATCCCACGCGATTATAAAAGTTGGTTCCTTGATACCAAAGACACCTTTGCGGGCCGCGGCAGTTTCTCACCAGGCCAAAGCTTGATTTTAAGGATTGCCTGTTGGTGTCACATCCAAATATTGGCTGAGATTTTGGAATGCTGAAGTGTGTTTGCAAATCCTAATATTTTTCACTCCGACAGGAGTACTCCCGATCGTCTTAAGAGGCTCCAGACAGACAAATGTGGACCGACTGAGGGACTAAGTAAGGGCTATACAAATGCCGGCTGTTTTTCCTGTGAGCAAACAACTAAGTTCAATGAAGATTTTTTTTTTGCTTTAATTTTTTGATTTTTTAGTTAATTTTTATGGAGCTCTCCATTTTTCTCTGCTACCCTCCCTGCCTCTCCCCTCCCTCTTTCAACCCTCCCCGCAGGTCTCCATGCTCCCAATTTACTCAGGAGATCTTGTCTTTTTCTATCAAGGCAGTTTTTTAAAATGTATAAGTTGTAGGAACTGTGGAGAGACGTTGTGTGGATAAGTTTCCCTGGCCCTTTACACACGTGGCGTTAGTCTTGTCCTGAGGATCCTGGTGTGTGCTGCCTGCACATCTTTGAGCTGCCTGTCTGTCATTCTCTGAAATCCTTACTGTGTAAGGGAGCTTTTCCACAGCTGTCAGATAAAATTATGGATGTCTTGGTCTCGGTAGAAAGGAAGCTGAGATGACTGCCCTTCAGAAGAGTTCTATTAGGGGAAGTTTAAGCACAGTTACCACAGAGAGGCACAGTGGGGCCCTCAAGGTGCAGCGAGCCTTCAGGCCCCAAGCACAGAGGTCTTCTCTGGCCCTTTAAGAAACGTCCTGTCTGGACAGCCCTGTGCAAAAGTTCCAGCCATGATCTGGTCAGTGTAATATGATTCATGGAGAAAGGAAGACACTGGATGAGACTGGTCATTTGTAACAAGCAGGGGAAGGAAGGCAGGCCCTAGCTAAGGCTCTGTGTGTGGCTACAGGTCAGACCCTGCACTCTCTGCAGCTGTGCCTAGAGAGGCTGCAGGGCGTGGCCTGAGCAAGGCAGAGAAATCATTCATCCCTAACACAAAAGTAGACATAACATTGGTGGAAGAAATGGCAGGTAGAAGAGGAAGGGGGGCTTTCTTCCTGTCAGGAGGATAGGTCAAAAGCCAAGCGAAAAATGGAAGGAACTCAGATACACCTGTTCGTGTTGGCTCTCACTCACAAGACCACGGCTCACTCAACAAGGCCGTGGGGGGAAAAAGCTTGAAAACAACCAATTTAATCCAACAGGATGGGTAAATAGGTTCCGCGACAATGAGAAGTGAATGGTTCAAATCCTCATTTCTAGCTCAGGTATTTTCATTGTCATAACACAGAACTTCACAAGGGCATCCAAGTAAGTACGTAATTTTCTGGACTTCAGTCTCCCGCATAGCCCTCCATGTCCCTTCTCACTTCCCATAGATTAGTCTTTATTCAATTCTCCACTCATTTAAAGTCATTATTATAAACATCCCCCACATATCTAAGACTGACTCGTCTTTGCCAGCACTATCAACATTTTGAACTATCTTCTCTCTAGCATACACTCTACTTAGATGAGAGAATCATTTGCTTCTTTAAACCTGCTTTGGACCATGGACTGTCAATTTCAGGAGTCTGAACATGAAGTGTGTATTTTGGTTATGTTCTCAGCACAAATGCTGGGGGTCATTTTCAGATGAAAGATATTTATTAGGGCAAAAGGGAAATGCCAGTGATTCATTTTGAACTTTATTCATATCAAAAGGTAATCATTAGATTATAAAATAATTCTGCTAATATTCCTTTGCGAGATAGACAAGTTACTCACATTCTACTGTTTTAAAACCAGGAGTAAGTATAAGATAAGATCCAAAAATTTTATAAAGCTGATAAGCAATAGAAATACAAATAAACGATCTCTAAAAACAATATCAAGCCAATAATCTGACATGATCAAAAATCGGTTCTATAGAGTTACCTATTATGGGATTGCAAAATCCACATTATTTTCCTCAAATCTAAGCTGTTTTGTATTTGACATGCAAACGCTAACTAATCTCCATATCTGGTAGAGCTGGGCAGTCAGTATCACAATAGTGAAAGGTTACTGCTTCCTTTACAGCATCAGATTAATTGAGTGTCGCATTAGCCCCTATGTTCACTTCTTAGGAAAAAATTGCTTCTTAGGAAAGAGCCGGGATTCTGACCCCGAGATGGATCAATGTTTCCTCATCAGAGTGCAGGAAACGCGCAGCTCACAAGGCAGTTGTGTAAGCAGGCTCAAGATGAAGGGCTCAAGGGTTGTTTTCCTTCCCTGGCCTCTCAGGAGATCAGATGACCTCCCCCCCAGACCACCCACATTCAAGCCACACACAACAGGACACAGCTCCTAGGTCATCTAAGTTGTGGTTGCCTGCAATTCCAATACTGGAGTCTATAGTTTAGAGACTATACTCTATAGTTTAAAGTTTAGAGTAACCAAATGAAGGAGGGGAAGCAATGAATGGGGAACAGGGAAGGACAAACAACGGGCTTCACCGCCGCTCAGCAATATACGCCTTCCTCACTCAATGATCCAAACACAATCCTAAAATCTGTAGGAGACACTGCCTTCTCAGCACAATAATTTTTATTGTTCCGTAATGATTTTTAAAATAAAATGTGAGTGACATTTGTTATCTACAAGTTGCCGTCTCTGAGCACAGTGCAGTTAGACATGATAATGCGCCCTCAGTTTCTAGACTTCAAATTCTGACTCATGAGTCCTAAACACCTAAAGGAGTCTGAGACAGCCTGAACAGCTGATTTAGGGCCCTATGAGATTATCAATATTCCTTTGTGAAGGGATCTGACAAGAGTCTCTCAGATAAGCTCAGCAGAAAAATGGGTGAAAAGAAAGAGAAAAATGAAGTCACCTGGAAACAAAATGGAGAAAGCAAAGCAAGCCGGAGCTCTGGGTTGCCAAAGGAAAAGAAAAACATTCAGACAAATGCATACAATGTTGAAAACCAAAAGTAGACCACTTGTTCAGTAAGACTGCACACATTTGGAAATCTGTTCGGTGCACGCAACATTTCACTTTGAGAAGGAAATCAAGTTTACAAAGAAACGGGGATGCTTCAGATCTGAAGTCACTGGGTTTCTTCTGCTATAAAGACTCGGCAGAAACTGGATAAATGAGGCAAGAGAGTGATGCTCAGGGCTGCCTATACCCACGCGTTAGTAAATACAGAGAGTGCTGCATCCCCTGAAAAGTGGTCCGGTGGAAGTACATGTTAATGAGACACATGATGGTATGGGGACATAAGAAAGTAAGGTATATTTAAAAGGCATCGATTTTTATTAGCGGTGCATTTAAAACTATATTTATTTATATGAAAAGAGAAAACTTACTGCAGTAACTTGTGGTCAGAACCTGCTTACCCAGAGTGCAATGAAAAGTTCCATCAAGACACCTGCTTGTTCTGCATTTACTTAAATAATCTCACTACGTTCTCATTGTTAACAGGCTACACCCCAAAAGGAACTTACGGCACATTAGAGAAATTAACAAAGCTTTAAAAGCATATGTAGAAAAGAAATTCTATAAAATTTGGCCTATATTTTTTCATTTTTCTACATAATGTCATATTTTTCTAATGTGTTTGTAACACCACACAACTGCAATTCACTAAAGCTTTTGTTATGAACATTTGTCTTGTTATTATGAATGAAGTGTTTCTAGGCACTAATAACTTCTAACATATGAATATGCTACAGTGCTCTTATTTCCATTGTATTTGATATGTTCTTCTTTATGATTAAGAATTTTAGCTCATTGGCAAATCAAATCCAAGAATACATCAGAACTATCATCCATCATGATCAAGTTAGCTTCATCCCAGAGATGCAGGGATGGTTCAACATATGAAAATCTGTCAATGTAATCCACCATATAAACAAACTGAAAAATAAAAACTACATGAACATTTCATTAGATACAGAAAAAGCTTTCAACAAAATATAACATCCCTTCATGATAAAGGTCTTGGAGAGAGGAGGAATACAAGGAACATACCTAAACATAATAAAGACAATATGCAACAAGCCAACAGCCAACATCAAAGTAAATGGAGAGAAACTCCCAGAAATCCCACTGAAATCAGGAAAAAGACAAGGTTGTCCATTCTCTCCACTCTATTCAATATAGCTCTTGAGGTCCTAGCTAGAGCAATAAGAAAAAGAGATCAAGGGAATGCAAATCAGAAAAGAAGAAGTCAAATTTTCACTAGTTGCTGATGATATGATAGTAGACATAAGTGACCCCAAAAATTCTACCAAGGAACTTCTACAACTCATAAACACTTTCAGTAATGTAACAGGATATAAGATTAATTCAAAAATTTCAGTAGCCCTCATGTACACAGATAAAAAATGGGCTGAGAAAAAAAATTAGAGAAACATCACCCATCACAATAGCTCCAAATAGCATAAAATAGATTGGAGTAACTCTAACCAAACAAGTGGAAGACTTGTATAACAAGAAATTTAAATCTTTGAAGAAAGAAATTGAAGAAGACACCAGAAAGTGGAAAGATCTCCCATGCTCATGGATAGGGAGAATTAACATCATAAAAATGCAATCTTACCAAAAGCAATATACAGATTCAATGCAATGCCCATCAAAATCACAGCAAAATT